CTCTAGGCCCACTGTGCCACCTAGCTGCCCCATGTCCCCTTTACCCACCTGGACTACTATTTATAGGCTCTAACAGTATATTTCAAAACATTACTTCCATACACGCAAAACATATTGCTCTCAAGGAAAGGATATGTAAAGACAACTTAAGGATGATAGGTTTCCCAGAAGAATATGACAAAACAAGAAATCTGAACATCATAATGAAAACAATAATAAAACCCCCAAGATAATGCCATTTCCTTCTCCAGTTCATTTTACAGATAATGAACTGAAGTAAACAGGGTTAAGTGACTTGTCCAAGGTCACACAGCTAGTGTCTGAGGCCAGACTTGAATTCAGGAAGATGAGTCTTCCTGATTCCAGGCCTGGCTCTCTGTTTACTATGGTGCCCCCAGCACTCAAGTGGTTTGCTGTTGTTGAGTTATTTCAGCAATGTCCAACTCTTTGTGACCCCTATTTAGAGAGGGAAAAAATCAGCACAACTGATAAATACATTGAAAAAGTCTGAAAATATGTCCAGTGTTTAACATCTGTAGACCTCCCACTTCCACAAAGGGGTAGGTTGGTGGTATCTTCTCATATATCTTCTCCTGTTCAATCTATAGTTTTCATTAAATTTACTTCTGATTTTTTTGGTGCATAGTTGTTCTTTCCATTTACATTGTAGTAGTTGTTGTGCATATTGTTTTCTTGGCTTCCCCATCAGTTTATACAGGTCTTTCCATGCTTCTCTGTTTTTATCACATACTTAAAAAAAAAAATTGGGACACTAATGCATTGTTGGTGGAGTTGTGAAATGATCCAACCATTCTGAAGAGCAGTTTGGAAGTATGCCCAAAGGGCTATAAAAATGTGCATACCCTTTGACCCAGCAATAGCACTTCTAGGGCTGTATCCCAAAGAGATCATACAAATGGGAAAAGGACCCACATGTACAAAAATATTTATAGCAGCTCTTTTTGTGGTGGCCAAGAATTGGAAATTGAGAGGATGCCCATCAATTGGGGAATAGCTGAACAAGTTGTGGTATATGAATGGAATGGAATATTATTGTGCTATAAGAAATGATGAACAGGCAGACTTCAGAAAAACCTGGAAAGACTTGTATGGTCTGATGCTGAGTGAAGTGAGACATGGTCTCCAACAGGAGAATGTTGTATGCAATAACAGCCACGTTGTGTGATGACTAATATTGATAGACTTAACCGTTCTCAGCAATGCAAGGATCTAAGACATCTCCCGAGGTCTCATGATGGAAAATGCTATCCACAAAGAAGAAAGAACTATGGAGTTTGAATGCAGATTGAAGCATAATATTTGCTATTTTTTTTCTTCTGTTGTGTTTTGTTTCTTCTTTCTGGTGGTTCCTCCTATTGGTTCTAATACTTACTTACAACATCACTAATGTGAAAATATGTTTAATGGGAATGTTTATGTATAGCCTATATCAGATTGCACGCCATCTTGGGGACAGAGGGGGAGAAAAATTTAAAACTCAAAAGCTTGTGGAAGTGATGGTTGATGAATCAAAATAAATTAATTTAATAAAAAAATGAGGATAATAAAAAAAGAAAGCGACAGAGGTGCTATTTGAATCTAGAATCACTCTTTCACTCAAGATGCCATACTGTTTTTTGGTATAGCATAAATCACATATAAATGTGTTTTTCTACAAAGGGAACACCTGAATGCAGGGTCACCGAGAACATAGACTCATTTTCCTTAGTATTGCTGAAGTCACTTATTTCAATTCTTCAATGAATTTTTTAGTATCATCCTCTCGTCCTGTGTGACTCTTGTCTGTGCTTTGCCAAAGATTCTCATATTAATCCATTCTGCTACCCACTTCCATTTTATGAGTGAGTTCATCCTATTCATTACTGTGTATGTCCTTCCACTCTATTGTTTCCCATCTCTCTCTCTGTCTCTCTTTCTCTCTCTTTTTCTCTCTTTCTCCTTCCTCAAAAGTCTTTTTTGCTTCTGACCACTGCCTCCCTAATTAATCTTCCCTCCTTTCTATCATCTCCCTCCCCTTAAAGGACATAAATAGCCTTTAGTTATCCCCTTGCCCCCTTACTTCCATGTTGGGTAAGATAAATTTTTATATCCAATTGAGTGTGTATGTTATTCCTTCTTTGAGCCAATTCCAATGAGGGTGAGGTTCAAGCATTGCCCACTCCTCACTTTATCTCCACTATAAAAGCTCCTCCTTTTGAACCTCTTTTGTGTGAGATAATTTCCCCCATTTTTCCACTCTCTTCTCCTTTCTCCCAGTGCATCTCTCTTTCTTACCTTTTAATTTTATTTTTTTGAAATCATCCCATCATAATTAACTCACTCCTGTGCCCTCTATGTAGGGTTCTTTTAACAGCCCTAAAAAAAAGATAAGATTCTTAGTAGTTATAAATATCATCTTGCCACATAGGAATTTAAACAGTTTGACTTTACTGAATCCCTTATGATTTCTCTTTCATGTTTACCTTTTTATGTTTCTATTGAGTCTTGTATTTGAAAGTCAAATTTTCTATTCAGCTTTGGTCTTTTTTAAAATCAGGAATGCTTGAAAGTCCTCTATTTCATTAAGTATCCATTTTTTTCCCTTGAAGGATTATACTCAGTTTTGCTAAGTAGGTTATTCTTGGTTATAATCCCAACTCCTTTGCCTTATGGAATGTCATACTCCAAGCCCTCTGATCTTTTAATGTGGAAGCTGCTAGATCTTGTGTTATCCTGACTATGGCTCCATGATATTTGAATTGTTTTTTTTCTGGCTGCTTGCAATATTTTTTCCTTGATCTGGGAACTCTGGAATTTAGCTATAATATTTCTGGGAGTTTTCATTTTGTCATCTCTTTCAGGAGGTGAATGGTAGATTCTTTCAATTTCTATTTTACTCTTTGGTTCTATAATATCAGGGAAAGAGGCAAAGATAGTGAAAAAGAGTGAGAAAAGCAATGGACTTGGAATCACAAGATCTGGATTCAAGCCACAGCTATGTTTATTGTGGGAACTTGGTTAAGTGACTTCTTCACTTTCTCATGCTTCAGTATTCTCATCTATAAAATGAAGGTGGAAGGAGGAGGAATTGGATTACATAATTGTAAAATTTCAATTCCTCTGAAAATCCCCCCTTAGATTTTTTAAGAGAAAAAGAGGAAGAAAAAAAAGTTAGCAGAAGCAATCAATACATTGAAAAAAAATGTTTCATTATATGCAGTGTTCCATGCTCATGGACAACTCCATCTCCTGGCCTCTGCAAAGGAGTAAGGGGAAGCTTTTTATCATATTTCTTTATTGGGGCCATGCCTATTCTTTGTAATTTTACAAAATGGTAAATCTAATTTTAAAATTACTTATTATTTTTATTAATTATATATTAAATCACTATAATTTCTTAATAAAATAATATATAACTATTATAATAATAGTATATATAATATAAAATAATAAATAGAATAATATAAATATAATTAATAAACTAAAATAATATAAATTAAATTAAATATAATTAATAATTAAATTTAAATTCACAGCTCCACCAATAATGCATTAGTATGCCGATCTTTGTATAACCCATTCAGTATTGACCATTCCCATCTTTTGACATTTTTGCCAATTTTTTGGGTGTGGGGTAAAACCTTAGGGTTGGTTTGACTTACATTTTATCTTATTATTTGTGATGTGCAATATTCTTTTATATGATTGTTAGTAGTTTGTAATTCTTTTGAGAACTCTTTGTTCATCAACTTTGACCAATTATCTAATGAGGATGGCAAGTCAGTTAACTTCACTGGACTTCAGTTTTCCTCATCTTACAGATGAGGAGGTTGGTTTAAATGACCTATGAGGTCCTTCTAGCTCTAAACCTATAATCCTATGTTCTGTATGCTGGAAAAATTCCTTTTATTAGTTTAACATCTAGAAGGTAGAATTGGTAGAAGGTACCCAGGTATCCCTTCAGTGGTCCATCTATTGTCTCCATTAATCTGATGCCCATGAGTAGAATTCAACTAATGAAGTTTCTTTCATGCTTTTTAATAGGTTAATGTGCTAAACATTATGCCACAGATTTAGTTAAACATTAAATCAAATAATGTCTTGAATATCCACGATGAAATAGAGTAACTGTCTCTCATTACAACAATGTAAACCAGTTAGTGTAGGCTTTTTCCAGGAAATTTTATCACCGGTATAATATGAACTTTGGTCTTAGCTGAGGAGAACTTTTGCTGTAAGAATAAAGTTAGAATAAGAATCTGACTTCTTGTCATCTAAAGATTTAAAAGCAGAAAATTCAACTTTCAAATTTTTATGAGACGTGAGGTAGAGTAATTTCTTTAGCATTTAAACATTTTTAATTCATGAATACTTTCAGTCTGGTCTTAAGCAGTGGTAAGATTGGGGATTGCTCTCATGAATTATTTTTGTTTCTCTGTGATAGATATCATGGAATATAGATATTGAAATTGTTCAAAATTAATGCTAAATGATGAATAAATTTTTGTTGTTATTATTGGAGCCTCTTAATAATTGGGACTCCTGTTCAGATATGAAAGGCATTGTGGTGAATGAGATAAAGCTCTAGCCTTAGAGCCAGAAGACCTGGGCCCAAATATTGCTTCTAACATATACTTGCTTTTTGACCCTGAGTAAATCATTTAATGTTTCAGTGTCCCAAGCAACTCTCTTAAGATTGTAAATTGAACAGAAGGTGCTAACCTTTGTGGGTAGAAGGACCTTTGTCATCTGAGAGTTCCATATCAATTAAATCCCAGGCCTGGTTCTTATCTCTCTAGTGTTTAGGTGTGGTGAGGACTAGAAGACCTCTGAGAATCTGCAAGTTTGTGTTTCTGTGAAACGTGCCCTAACTTCTTCTCCAAATGTACGAATGGGCCCGTGTGTGATTTTAGTTTAGCATATTGTCTGGAGTCAGTGATGTTATACTTGTATGGTACAACAATACAATGGTGACATTTGTCTCTTGTCCTCATAGCGCTGTTTCTTTGGCAGATCAGAGGCATGATGGACACATGAAGGCAACCCCAAATTTTGAATCAAAACCAACTCCACAGGTATGGATGTGCCAGGAAATTATATTATGTCATTTCTTAAGTGTAGCTTGATGTGTTTCATTGAACAGTTCCATTGTTAAAAGTAATTAAATTACCCCATTTCAGTGATTGTTGAATTCTCAGTCTGAAATTCCTTTGACTTTTCTCACACTGAAGATTGTGGGAGGCTAGATTTAAAGCTAGAAGGGAACCTAGAAGTCATTGACTCCAACTCTCTCATTTTATAGATTAGGAAACAAAGGCTCAAAGAGTTTAAATGATTTGCCCAGGGCTACACAGCTATTAAGTGTCAGAGGCAGGATTTGAACCCAATGCTTCCTGACTACAAATCTAGCACTCTATCTACTATGCCACATTGATTGTCATCAGAGTAAAAATTTACCACTTAACACTACTCCAAGTATAGGGAGTAGGACCCATGCATCCCTTTGTGATCCCCTTCCAGGACTATTGTAATCCACTGTGCTTGTTGCTACCCAAGAAACCAGTGGAAGGTTCTGAGTGACTCGGGGCCTGGCTGTCTGCTTTCTGGTATTTATTGCCTATGTCCTAAGCATCGCTTTGCATATGTTTGCTTTGGAGTTCAAACTGTGTTTCTTGTATTTTTGTAACTTTCTGAAACATTTTTGTCACATTCTGAAACAAGTAACATTTCTGTTATTTTCTGGGGCCAATATTCCCAATTTGCACCAGTCTAATAGAGCTGAATCTATTGGCTTTTAGGGAGCAATTAAGTGCTCCATTTAAAAATTGATTTACTAAGGAGCTAGATTGGGTTGATTTATTTTGCAGAATAATTTTCCAGCCACTGAAGCCTATAATCATCTGCATTTTATGCCATTGTGTTAGTGTTGCTTTCAGGAACGCTCCTTCCTTCAAATTGGTCGCAATAGTTGGATAACTAAATATTAGTAACTGTCCATCTTGGCTCTGAGGTTCTCTTTATTTTTCTGTGCTTGATCGTTGTGTCTCCCAGCATCTGTTGGGTGTTTGTCATCCTGCTGCCCCTGCAGCAAGATTAACTACCTGATAATTTTAAGTCAAATTTGTTAAACTTAATAGCCAAGAACATTTTTTTTCTTAAAGCCCTTATGTTTTACTAGTGGAGACTGTTTAAGAGAGTTAGGCCTTTTTTTAGCTAAGGAATGTTCTGTTTGTGACAAGATCTTTTTTTAAAAGATAAAAAACAAAACAAAATGTTTTATTCCAAACAGTTATAAATGGGAAGCCCTTAGAGGACCAAAGGTAACAAAAACTTTGCTTTGGATGTGATTGTTCTGTTTTCTGTCAATGTTTCAGTATCCCAGGCACCTCATAAAACAATTTTGATCTTGGAATTTGAGCTTTTAAGTTACAAAAGTAATAATAGCTAATGTTTATATAGCACCTACTATGTGCCAGGCACTATGCTAAGCACTTTGCAATTATTGTCTCATTTGATCCTTACAACAACTCTGGGAGGTGGTTGCTATTATTATCTTCATTTCACAGATGAGGAAACTAAGACAAACAGTGGTTCAATACTTGCACAGGGTCAGTTATACAGCTAGTAGATGTCTGAGAATGGATTTAAACTCAGGCCTTCCTGACTCCAGGCCCAGTGCTCTGTACACTATGGCTCCACCTAGGAGCAAGTCAGTTGCTTCACTCTGGGACTTTAGTTTCCTACCTTGTAAAATCAAGTAATGTGACTATTTGATCCCTATGTCTCTTCTAGCTCTGACTTCAAACAATTAATCCAGAAGTATTTATTAAGTGCCTACTGTGTGCAAAGCATTGAACTCAGTGCTAGGGATACAAGTATAAAGAGTAAAACAATCTCTGTTCCAAAGGAGTTTACCTTCAAACGAGGAGACAAAAATACGTACAACATAAACATAAAGTGAATAAATACAAATATATACAAACTAGTTAAATTCAAAGTAGTTTGGGATTAGGAACTAGTGGGATCAGAAAAGGCAAAAATGTAAAATATGGTGCTTGAGCTGTATCTTAAAGGTAGAAAGAGACTCTGTGAGACAGGCAACAAAGGAGTATATGTCAGGCATGATATTTTGAGTGATTTTATTTTTTGGGTGGAGTTTTTGGCTTCAAACCCTCTTTCAGTCCTCTCCCTAAAAGCATATATCTGTTCTATATGTTTTAAATTAATTATTAATCAATTAGTATTTATTATTTAATTAATTTAATCATCAATTTATATGAGTATAATATAATGATTTAGTTATTAGTTATGCATTAATTGAATTAATTATTAATTAATTATATAATTTAATTAAGAGAGACGGGTAGTTAGGTGGCACAGTGGATAGAGCACTGGCCCTAGGGTCTGTTTCCTGCCTCTGTTCCCCCAGGATTCAGTATTCTTAGAAGCCAAGTGGTACGTTAAGACACCAGACCTTAGTACCTAGTTATCAAGAATAATGAATTTCAGTTGGAGATTTCCAAATGACTTGATTACTCTGGGATAAATGGGTTGGCAGTTGACCCAGAAGTGGATGACTTCATGATATTCTGGGGTTCTTGTCTCAGGTGTTGTGTCTACACAAAATGCACTCCCAACTCTGTAACTGGGGGTGCCTCTGGTACTCTAGGTGCAAAAAAAATCAGAATCCCAGTTATGGTTCTGTTATTATCTAGATCAGGGGTGGGGAACCTGCAGCCTCAAGACCACATGTGGCCACAAGGATGCCCCTCTGACTGAATGCAGTCAGAGGGCTACACTTGAGGACCTAGAGGGCTGCATGTAGCCTCGAGGCCGCAGGTTCCCCACCCCTGATCTAGGTCATCTAACATCCCCCTACATGTGACCTCTGAACTTTTCCTTTTCTAGAGAAACTTTTATATTATGGAAAATTAAGCTCTTTGTTGTCTTTTTAAAATATGTATGTATATATATTTAAAATATGTATTTGCCTAATTAGAGCATCAACTACAATCTCATCAAAAAAGGAAACTTATGGCGAGAACCTTGGAAGACCTTCAGCCCTAGCCATCTCACTCCCATTAACGTCTCAGTCAATGGAACTCCTTGCATTCTCTTCTGGGCTAAGAGAATAACAATTAAATTTAAAAATCAGCCTTTATTGGACCTCACAGATAAGACATTTGGAAAAGAAGCAAGAGTGGATATTGGCAATTCAAACTGCAGTGAAGAAAATGCCATGTAAGTATGAAACCTTTCCTATGGGGGCATCAGGGTTTAGGAATTATATTGTTGCTGCCATCTCTCTTAACCTATCATTAGCTAGTATGACAATGCTGAGGACTTTTGTAATATTTGATGTCCCTATTCAGGGACTATTTAGAAAGGAGAAATTGGCTCCCTTGGGGTTGACCCTGAAAATTTTCTTCAAGGAAATAGAGCACTAGAGAGATCAGTTCAGTTGTTTTTCAGTTGTGTGTGACTCTTCATGACCCCATTTTAGACTTTTCTTGGCAAAGATACTGGAGTAGTTTGCCATTTCCTTCTGCAGTTCATTTTACAAATGAGGAAACTGAGGCAAACATGATTAAATGACTTGCCCATGATCACACAGCCATTAAGTGTCACAGACAGGACTTGAACCTAGGTTTTCCTGGCATGAAATCTACCAGTTCATGCGCTAAGCCAGGTTGCTTTTCAAATGGATAAAATAGCAAAATCTGAGCACCATTTATATTTTCTATGTGAAATCTTTGTCCAGGCTTCAACTTGAGACATTGGGAACACCTTTTGCCCTTCATCCCCAGCGTACTCTAAGCAAAGGAAATAGGTGTTCTTGATCGTGGGTGCTGCATAAGACCTTTGAAGCAGCAGTGTGACTCCTGTAACCTTGGTGGAAACAGAGAACCCACGAGAAGGATCGAACTATTTCCAAGAGCAATGCAGAGGTGATGGGGTTCCCTTTTGTCCCCCAAAGTCATGGACATTTTTAGGTCAGAGGTGGACTAGATAAACATACACATTATATATAATAACACTAGCTCACCTTTTTTTTTTTTTGAGGGAAAGGAGGTTAAGTGACTTGCCCAGCGTCCCATAGCTAGTAAGTGTCTGAGGCTGGATTTGAACTCAGTTCCACCTGACTCGGCCTGTATTCTAGCCACTGTACCACCTAGCTACCCTACTAGCTCGAATTTCTATGACATGCTACAGTTTGCAAAGTTCTTTCCTCACAAAGCCTTAGGAAGTCGAAAAAGTGCTAAGTACTCTAATCCCCATTTAATGCCTTGATCCATTTCATACTCCTAGTAAGAGGAGACCTTACTAGGCCTTCTCAATCTAAGTTCAGTGCTTGTTCTACTATATCATACTAATTCCATACATGGGACCTGCCAATCTGCAGACAATCATTCCTCTTTTGAATAGTCAGACTTTAGAAAGTCATTTAGAATCATTCATAATGCTGAAGATTATTAATTTTAACTTAAAACTGAGCAAAATAAACAAACTGGGAACTAGTTCTCCAAAGCTATAATCAGGAAACATTTTCAAGAAAATAACTAGGAGTGAACTCCTCTACCTTTCTAGGATTTTCAAAGACCACCTCATAAAGGATGTCTTATAAATATCTTCTAATGGCTTCAGCAATTTATTTGCTTAGCTCATGTCATAGGTAATTTAACATTTCCATGACTATAAACCACCTTTTCAACGGCTGTGATATGATTGGCTTTGAATGGTCTCAAGTGGTGCTCTGAGATTGTGCTCAGCTACTGACAAACGAGTGGTTCCTATAAATGGGTAATTGAATGGAATGGATATTTATGTTTTTATATAAATATTTTAGTCTGAAATACCTTTTCCTACCTGAACTTCACCCATCACTTTTATACATTTCTTTCTCATGAAAGATAAAACAGATAATTATGTTGATATATATTTCCAAGCCAAAATTGGTTTCTTATGTTATTCTTAATGGCATCACTATTAATAAATATTAAGTAATAGTTTAGATTCCACCAAGATAGACATTTTAACTCTTCTTCCAGGTGAGATACACAATAATGACCTCAGTGATAGCTGATGACCTTTGCCTCGGACTGTAACCACCTGAAGGTCTTCCTTGTCTGATGCTTTGTACAAAAGAGACCGCTTGACCATCATTTTCTTATACCCTAGCCAGCGCACTGACCTATACCCCTTTCCATGGTTAGGAGCAAAGAGGCATGATAGTTATTCTCCTGTCCTTCTGGCTCATTTTGAAAGGAACTACGTCTCCCTCTCCTTGGAGGCGGGGAGGGGGGAGGGTTCTTCAGAGCCCTCAAAAATCACTGATGCCTTCAGATCAAAAGTGCTCTTGACTAGGTATCAGAAGACCTGTTAGTCACGGTTCTGCTACTCAGCGGGGTGAACTTACTTAAGGCACGATACTTAAACTCTCTAATCCTCAGTTTCGTCATCTGCAGACTGGGAACAACAACAACAACAACATCCTGTCTGCCTTACAGAACTATTGTAGAAATCAAATGAGACAGTGCATGGGGAAGCGCTCATTACATGGTTATGTGCTGAATTAATTTATTTCAATACTTCAAGGAGTCATGATTTCATTGACGTGAATACTCCCTTTACCACAGTGAGATAATAATCCCGCAATCATTTGGTAGATGTTCTTTGAAAGTTGCTATGGTTAGAAAATTTGTCTCCCAGGTGCCAACCGGGTAATGAGCCTCTCTGAATTCAACCAGCCTGGATCCAAGATGACAGACACATAACCCCTAGTTGGAGGATTTCTAGCTTTATAGGACTGGTCAGAGTGTGTGATCTTTTGGCATTACCTAAGAAAATCCAGAGTTACTGACATACAGTGAAGCATTGGAGGAGTATAATGGTGTATCATGGTAGATGATACATATATAATGCTGTATTACTATTGTTGCTTATGTTGATAATATGTGCAGGTGTTGGATTGTCATCAATTTTCTATAGAAGTTTAATCAAGTTAAAACAATTGCCAAAATGAAGAGATGCAAAGAACCTCCAAATCACATAACCAATAGATGTTTGGGTCCTTGCTATGTAGAGAGGCAGAGAAGCCAAGAGCAATGCCATTATAGTCCGTACACTCACAGAATTACATAACTGGAGAATTCGAAGGGACCTCAGTTAGCAGCCATCTACTCCACTGATCCACAAAAGGAATTCCCGCGATAACACCCCCAACCAGGGTCCATCCAGCTTCTGCCTGAAGACATCCAAGGAATAGGGAACTTACCACTCCAGTTTTGGAAGGCTTTAGTTATTGGGAATTTTTCCTAAAATCAAGCCTCAATTGATCCCTTTGTTACTTCCTCAAATTGGTCCTGGTTCTGCCCTCTGGGACCCAAGAGATCAAATCTAATTCTTCTTGCACATGACCACCTTTTGAAACACTTGAATACTGATCTATCATGGCCATCTGAGATTTCTTTTCTCCAGGCTATACAAGCTGAGTTAGACAACCTCATTTCTCCATCTGTATATGCTTTCCAGCTTATCAGTGTCCTTCAACTGTGGCACTCACAAATGAAACTAATCCTCCAGGGGAGGTCTGACATTAACAAAATATTATGAAGGGGGACAGTGGAAAATTGTGAGCAATATTGCCTCACAAAAGAGGGAACACTAGTGGAGGGAAAAATGAATGTGTAGAAAACTTGGTGTGAAACCCAACTAGATAGAGTGATGGACCTGAGGTTAGGATCTGTGTTCAAATCTAGCTTGAGACATTTGCTAGCTGCCTGACCCCAGGCAAGTCATTTAACCTTTGTCTGCCTCACTTTCCTCATCTGTAAAATGTCTATGATAATAATCAGCACTTACCTCTCAAGATTGTTGTGAGGATCAAATGAGATATTAAGTGCTTCGCAAACCTTAGAGAACTGTGGAAATCCCAGCTGTTATTCCTAGAGTTTTATAGATGAAACAAGAGGTAAAAAGACAAAAAAAAAAATCAAACACTTATAATGCCAGAAAGCAGTTGAACCCTGATTAGTTGGAATGTCTAATCTTGGGCCTGGAGAACCAATAATGAAGTGTGTGTTTCATTCTGTCTTCTCATTAGAAAGGTCACTGTGTTGTTGGTTTTGATTATTTTTTTTAAATTTTTTCTTCTTTTCTACAAGGGAGAGTTCAGTGGGGGTAAGGGTTAAGGGGAAATGACTGTTGTAAGAACAATAAGCTTCAATGAAGCTTCTGAAAACTGTCACCCATCTGTGAGCATTTTTTACAACTATTGTCGTCATCAATGACAGAAAAACCACGATCCTTCACCTTTAATGTCTGAATCCCAAATGTGGTATGTGAAGAAGATAATATGTCTCTAAATCACAACAAGCAAAGACAGGAAGCAAAGCTGGATTAAATCAAGTGTAAACGGAAAAAAAATCTGTATAGGAAATGACACAATTTTGAAAGCATTGAAGGAGCAATTTTCAACATACCTGAGAGTGGAGGATGCTCAATGATTAGTTGAATGAAAAGAATGAATGGAATTACTCACATGAAAGGAATTATTTCCCCCAAATGGCAACCAAAGTAACTTTAATAACTACTTACTTTTTCCTCTGTATAAAATCTTTATGAGCATGTTCTGTCCTTTAAAAGAGTCAAGATAACTTTTATGAAAATAAGAGAAGGGGACAAGCTTTTGTAAAAAAAAATTTCTGTGGCAGGCCAGATCTTTACAGTCACACAATTTACTGAAATTATAGAAAATTCAAGATCTTGCTGTGTTTATTGTCTATTGACTATTAAAAATATTTGATTCTGCTAAACAGAATGTATCCTTAAAAGCTGTCCTAAAAAAAAGTCTCCCATGTATACAAAAATCCATCATACAAGGCTTATGAAAGATGTAACAACAGAAATAATAGTTTAATAATTCTTAGATTATCTTTTCGAGTAAGGGAGGCACGTGTCCACCAGAGTTGTTAGCCACTGTCATGGGTCCTGCACAGGGTCCAAATGGAAGAGGGATTCTCTATTGATACTGAGGTGACCCAGAAGCAATTGCTGGTGGATAACATTTTGCTGATTTCATCAAATCCAAGAATACTACAGGGACTACTAAATGACATCCCTCAGTTACTCAGAAAAGATCAGTCTAGCAGTCTATATAGGAAAAACCAAATAGATGAAAAATGCCTATTGTCCAGACTATGATATGCAGATGAATAGTCAGTCAGCAGTTGAGTCAGTCCATCATTAGATAGATCATAGACAGGCAATGCACATGGAAAAAATGAGCTATAATCTTAATTGAATAGGAGGCAGCTGAATTGAATTTGAGAAATTTTGCTTCCATTTCAGTGATCCCAAGCTGCTCTTTGACACACACAAAAATCATTATTTGGGTGCCTTTAAGCTCCCAGAGACACAATTTAACTGCAATTCATAGAGCAGTTCAATCTGTGAAGAATTAAAATTGTAGAGAATCAAAGGGCAATATAGAAACACACTATAGACATAAGAAGGCTGCATCATTTTGCCAATAATGACTTTATATGCAAGAAGTGAAGGAGATCATCCAGGAAGTATGATGGTGTGAGGAAGTAGGCTGGTCACAGGTGACAGGTGGTCAACTGCCTTTGTACCCACAAAATGTTAAACTAACCAGAGGAGAGTCATCCAGCACATTTAGTAGGTTCTCTTTGTTTTCACTTTGTTCAAATACAGTCTTGAAAAGAAAACCAGATTATAAAAATCTGATTAGTTCTGTACCTTTTAACTTAATACTAAGCTGAACTGATGGAATGTTATGGAAGGCCATGAGCAAGAATCACTGTGCATGAGAAGGTAGGGTTGAGCTGTGATCTGTGCCACTGGAGTGAGAAATAATCACCTTTACATAGTATTTGGTTTACAGAGCTCTTTCCTCATAACAATTCTATGAGATAGTTACTACAAGTATTATAATTGCCATTATACAAATGGTAAAACTGAGGCTGTGAGAGGTTAAGGGGGGGAAGATCAAGCATTTATTAAGCGCTTACTGTGTGCCAGGCTTTATGAATATTATCTCATTTGATCCTCACAATAACCCTGAGAAGTAGATACTGTTATTATTATCTTTATTTTACAGTTGATGAAACTGAGGCAGAGTTAAGTGACTTGCCCAGAGTCACACAGCCAAGAAATTTGCCTGAAACTGAATTTGAACTTGGGTGTACCTGACTTTAGGCTTAGTGCTCTATCTACTTCACCACCTAACTGCTTCTGGTTAAGTGACTTGTTCATGGTCATAAAACTAATAAATGTCTGGGCTGGGATTTCAAGTTAGATTTTGAAATCCTGGACTCCTTCTGTAATGCCATTGATGAACTACCAGATCCATTGAAGTCCTGGGATGTGTAAACTAAAATCTGACTTCAACCCTATCATTCCTACAGAGGATCCTTAACTAATTACTTTAGCTAACAGAGGATACTTAACTATCTACCTGTTGGACAAACTTTAGTATGCGGCAGTGATTCTACTTGCTTGGGTGCCATTTGATTTCCCATCTTCCACGGAACCACTTAAGAATGCTCCCCTTTCCCTAGCATGGTGAGTACTGTTAGAAACTTCACTGAGAAGCCGAAGAAGGGAGTTATGCTATGAGGCTCCCGGAGGAGTCAAGACCTCCGGGATCAGATGCAGAGACTCTGGGGAAGGCTTGAGTCCAATGCAGCTGATTGTCCACATTCTTTGTAGTGACATGCTGCTACCATTGCTGGTGAGCAAGTGACTCAGAATCTCATTTCCTCAAGAGTCATCATGGCGAAGAAACAAAATCCAAGCAGATATAACCATGTAAGGTAAAAAAAGTGCGGCTTTTAAAAAAATGATCACATTTTGCTCTTGGTACCAAAATGTTTGGGGAGAGAATAACCATTGATAGAAGGCATCACAAAGGGAATCTTCTTTGAGAAAGTGAGGGCAGCATACCAAACACAGCATCTGGGTGAATTTCATGCTTAGGCGGCAAGATCCTAGAACAGACAGAATTTGGCTCGAAAGGCGGCTTGGCAGAAGGGACAGACATACTTTAGAAAGTAGGGGAGCTAAAGTTTTCAAATTATTCTGGTCCACTGCTTCTGGATTTCAAATTCTTAAAGCAGGCCATATGTTTATTAACACTCAGCTGGCTTGCTAGCTTGCATCCGAACATAGTACAGTGGAAAGAACGCTGACTTTAGAGTCATGATATATAGTCCTGGATTTGAATCCTTACTCTGACACTTGGCACCTCTGTGCTATTAGACATGTCATTCAACTTCTCAGGAACTCGGTTTTCTCCTTTGTAATATGAGGCTTTGACTAAATGATCGGTAAGGTCCCTTCCATCTCTAAATTTATAATCCTCTTTTCCCAGTGTCTCATCATAAACGCTATTTGACTCTCAGGAACATGAAATCTAATCAACTGTCCTAGCAAGTGCATGGAAGCCTGAAGGTATTCAGGATAGAGATTGAGTTTTCCTTGGTGTTAATGGCTCATAACATCAGGTAGTTTTTCAAATGATCGAGACCAAAGTTGAAACCCCATTCTATGAGCTGCCTGGCTGGGGCTTAGGGGGCCATGTGCCCCATAAATATTCCTGGAGCTCTGTTAGTGAAAAATTTCTGCATTACAGCACTAGTAGAGCTTCAAAAACTTGGGAGAAAAAGGAGGAGGCACTTTGAATAAATGAAGTATTCGGATTGTGGAATTTTGAAAATTAATTTTGACTAGACTATAAGTTCAGTGGGGTTAGGATTTGCCTTTTATCCAAATTTCGCATTTTCTATAGGGGTGCTCTACTTATAATGAGTGCTTGATTAAGTGGGTGTTGAATTAAATTGCTTTTGGTTATACATGTTGATTTACATTGAAGGAACAAATTGCTCCAAGTAGAAGTCCTTTTATAGACTTAACTTTTGTAAATAGATAAGAATTATAATAACTTTAATATACCCAGGTTCATCGTGATTATATGGGGGGAGGGGAAATCAGCTATTAAATCACTATCTGAGCCGGCTATCTGTTCATTCCAAACCAGACACATGTCCATTTTTTTTATTGTTCAGTCATTTTCAATTGTTCTGACTCCTCAGGACCCCATTTGGGGTTTTCTTGGCAAAGATACTGCAGCGGTTTGCATTTCCTTCTCCAGCTCATTTTACAGATGAAGAAACTGAGGCAAACAGGGTTAAGTGACTTGCCCAGGGTCACGCAGCTAGTAAGCGTCTGAGGCCAGATTTGAGCTCAGGAAGGTGAGTCTTCCTGACTCTGGGTCTGACACTAAAGCCACTTCGCCGCCTAGCTGCCCTTATAAATCCATTAGCAAAAGCATTTCACCAAGCAACGAAACAACATAAATACCAGAGAGAGGAATCAAATAATGCCACAAAAAGGGATATAATCTCCAACAATTAAATCTTATTCCCCTTCAATACCCGACTTTCTAGCAGGGTAGTAAGAGTAGGAGGAGATGGTCTCTTCAGAAGTCATAAGACTCAGAGGTAAAAACTTAGTGAACAGCATGATGTACCTCTTAGAATTTCTTTCCCAGGAATCCCACGTTAGCCTTGAGTCCTCATGGTCTAGTCATGATCTATTTCTTGGGGTTCTCTTATTTCTCCATTTATTGACCACAGATCCAGGTCTTAGCTCTGCTGTGTCTGTTAGTACCTTTTCTGCATTGGCTTGGTCCACTGCCCTGTTCATTTGTGCTACTTGAAGTAGATAGGTGGTACAATGAATAATGTGCTAGACCTGGGGCAGGAAGACTTGAGTTCAAATCTAGCCTCAGACACTTCCTTGGTCGGTTACTTAACTTCTGCCTTCCTCAGTTTCCTCAACTGCAAAATGGGGACAATAATATTATGGGTTGTTGTGAGGATCAAAGGAAATGATATTTGCTTAGTGCTTGGCATAGTGCCTCACACGTAGTCAATGCTTAAGAAATGCTTATTCCCTTCCCCTCCCCTGTTCTCATATCTGCTTTTCCGCTTCCTTTCTTGTTCATCAATTTCCACATTGCCAACACTCAGTCACTGCCCACTGTAAGATGATTAGCATATCAGTAGTTCATAGATGGGTCTTTGTAAAACTCTTGAAAATAATTTGGTCCCTTAAGGAGGTACGATATTGCCTTAATAATCTTGGCAACATTAATTGGCTTAACAAACGTTTTTTCCCCCTAGGTAAGTGGCCAAAGTAAACTTCAGCTCAATCTCAATCTCAAATTAATGAGACTTGAACTAATCAGGTTTTACTGTAACTGATTTTTTTTTTTCCCCAGCTGGACAGCTGAAACCTACTTCTATTGTGTCTTCTCTTTCTAGTACTAAGCCAGGCAGCATTTAGCCATTGTCCTAGGTCAGGGTTACCTCGCTTTGTTGCAAATATAATCATTTTACCTTATGCTTTAGAGGCCTCATCCTTTCCCATTTCAATTTCTTTTATTATTTCAGTTTGATGTTTAATGTGTTTTACTCTTTCTCCTAGGCTTTCCCTGAAATTTGGTGATATTGACAGTCTAAAAGGACTTGACATCAGGTATGTTTTAGGCTAGAAAATATATAATTTTAAAAATCTTTTTTACATTTGTAATACATTATAGGACAAAGGAACAAGAAAACTTATACATACTGCATTACAGAGAAGACTATAACTGTCCCCTGGGATCCTCCAGTAGTGTTTTTTCAGTTCCTTCCTGGTACATCCATTCATACCTTTTATCATCATCACCAACTAATAGTGACCCAGACATGCCAATGATAACCTTTAACCTCAGGCTGATAGCTGCTGGAGGGCAGATGCTGTGGCTATATGAGTTGTTCTATATAGCACTGATCACTGAGCCATACAAGGTAAGACTCTTAAATAATATTTGACGGTGATAGTGAAAAGTGGCTCTCATCTGAAAGGCCATTGAAGAACAGGCCTTTGTCTACAGGTAAATATAACAAGTGCATGGAGAGTAGGGGGCAGGCCCAACATGGAAGTATACTTAAAGAAGATGACCAATTAAAATGAATAATTGGGGATACCAAGATCCTCAGTGTGGCCACTATTGCTGGTTTATATTGACAAATGATGACTGTTGATGTAAAAACAACAACAACTAATTTGGAGAGGTTTTATATCGAGAATAAGTAAATTATTATTTTTTTTCCCCCAGGGACTTTTTTTGGCGAATTGGGGCTAAGTAACTTACCCAGGGTCACATAGCACTAGTATCTAAGGCAAGAATAAGTAAATTGTAAAAGAGCAGAAAACAGGATTAGCTGATGTTCAAGGTCTTTTCCAGATGTATTATCCTTTGAGTCTAGAAAAGAATTTTTTTATTCTTCCCTTTTAAAATGCTAGCCTGTCACCAGGGAGATCTTCAGAAATTCAGGCATAGCAGGTCTGGATACTAGGTCACAAAGATTTATTGGATGAGAAAGTAGCAATTCATAAAGCTGAGTTTAGCACTTTTATCTTTAAAATAACTGGATTATAGCCATTAGATGTGAGGATGGGCTAAATTATTAGTGATTTTCAAAGCTATGCTATATGCAAAGAAGGCCTTTACTTCCAATGGCCAAACACAACGTAAGTTCATTTTTATATGGGAATGATGGTTTTTCTTATCTACGTAAGGTCTTGATTTAAAAAAAAATCCTTCAGCATTTTTCAGTCTTCTTGAGTTCTTTCATGCTCCCCCAGATTCTCATTTTCTTTTTCTCCTTCTCCATCATTTCCCCTTTTCCTTTTCCCTTTCTGTCCCTCTCTCTCCATCTCCTCCTTTTCTCTTCCTTTCTTTCTCTCTTCTCCTCTTCTTACCTTTTTCTCTTCCTCTCCCCCTTTTCCTTCTCTCTCCTTTCTCTGTCTTTTCCTTCTCTTCCTCCTCTTCTTCTTCTATATGTCTCTATTTTTCCTTTTCCAAGGAGGATCAAAGGACTATTTTAGGGATTGCTTTAGAGCTCAGGTCTGAAAGCTTTTCCCAAAGTCAGTTCTTACACATGACAAGAGAGGGCGCTGTTGTTCCGTCCCTAGAAGCCAGCTAGACAAAATTTAAACATCATGCTTCTTTGTTAATTCTTGGTTTTGAAATTCTTTTCAGATTCATCTTGATCAACTATAACAGATTGTCTGTTCAGAGCTGGTTTAGTTTACATAGAGTTCAAATTCTTTATAATAATTCAATCCAAGCAACTTTTAAGGCAACTCGAATCCATGCTCCATCAAAGTATTCCTATCACTGTCAGCATGTCAGCAGCCTGCAGAGATACGATGCGCTTTTGGTGCCCGGTTCCACAAATGACATCTCCAGGCTATGGGAAGTCACTTTTATTGATTTCCAGGTAATACTTTAGACTCAGAATGACAATCCTTGCATTGATTGGCCACTGCATGTTGAGATTGATTAAGCCATCTGAAATCTAGTGCTTTGGATAAGGGATGGAAGATTATCTGCTCTACAGTTTAAAAACAGTTTGTATTTTGCCCTTATCATCTAATAAATGAATGAAAGGGGATATAGGATTGACCTTTTCTCTCCCCCTCCCCTCTCCTATCTCCCCTTTGCCTCCTCCTCTCCCACCCCCACCCCCATTCCCTTTTTAAAGGTCATGCTTTAAAGAAATCAGTTTTCCATTCAGGCACTACATAGTTATCAGTTCAGAATGTCAATCAGCCAGAGAGGAGACAAAATGGGGCTGTGATCTGAAGTTCAGTGACTGTCACATCCTGGAGTGAAGAGGCCCATTCCGGGCAGAGCACTTGTCCGACAAGCATTTCCTTTCCTTCTGGGGAGTGAGGCCCCTCTGTGCATGTAGAAGGGAAGATAAGAAGCCCTTCTGTGGGCTGAGGAACTCAGTGGCCATTTAGTGCAAGCCTGGATGTCACAGTCTGGAAGGTGGTGGAGAATGAGGCCAAAAATACTCCCGAGGTTTTCAGCACTATTTGGGCACAGGAGTTTCCTTTAGCCACCACAGTTTGAGAGCAGGAGATAGTTCACTAAGTCTCTCAGTCCTATTTTTCTTTATTTAGAAAAAGGGCTAAATATATTTATCCAACTTGTCCTCTTACTTTATAACTCAGGGGAGCTTCCTCTGACTTCTGTCTTTCCTGAGGGCAGCTGAAGGCCTTCCCCTCCCCTCCCACAGAAATTGACATGCTTTGTTTCCTCTGACAGCTAGGTCACAGTCAATAGAGCACTGGGCCTAGAGTCAGGAAGACCTGAGTTCAAATGCAGCCTCAGACACTTACTAGCTTTGTGACCCTGGGCAAGTCACTTAACCTCTGTTTGCCCCAGTTTCCTCATCTGCCAAATGAGGGTAATAATAGCACCTACCTCCTAGGGTTGTTGTGAGGATCAAATGAGATAAGAATTGTAGAGTACTTAGTGTGGAGTCCAGCACATAGTAGGCTCTATATAAATGTTAGCTATCATCATCATCATGATTATTATCATCATGATACCGAACTTGGCAATAAAATTCTCAGCAAGTTTGGATTTGTATGACCAGGTTTCCCATCTAAATGTGGTTAGAATTTCAGAAGTTGTTATGGCAGAAGTGTTTCAAACAAAACTGAATGGCCGTAAATATAATATATTAAAAGCTTAAGTTTAGATGGTGCTTTGCATACTTTACCTCAGTTGATCCTCACAACAACCTCTTGAGTTGGGTGCTATTATTATCCCTGTTTTTACAGATGAGGGAACTAAGGCTGAGAGAATTTAAATAAAGTGCCAGTGGCAGAGTTTGAACCCAGGTCTTTCTGACTCCAAGTCCAGCCTGGTCTCCGCCATTCAACGCTGCCTCTCCTGATACAAATGACTTTTATGAGCCAGCCTCGCCCTAAAGTTCTTCAGCTCAGAACCTTCACCAAAATGTGACCATAAGACTGTGAAGTTGGTCTCGTGAGAGCAACAGAGGGTTTCAATTGAGCTCTTTTCTTTCTCCTGACAGATTCAAGGTTTTAATGTCAAGGAGGGCCAATTCTCTCACGCCAGGGACTGTGCCTCGTTCTTCTCCCCAGCCATTCTGATGGGCCTGGCTATGTCCCTGATCCTGCTGCTGGTGTTGGCTTATGCCCTACACATGCTGATCCACCTGAAGTCCCTTGACAGGCACTATGACTGCAAAGCATCACCCGCCTACTTTGTGCCCATGAAAGACCTCGAGGTGGCCACTGAAGAGAAGGAGCCACTGAGGATCCATGGGCATGACTGTCATGAACCGAGAAGCCCACACATCTGCAACATTTATGTGTAGTACCTCTCCTCTTCTTCACCCCTAACAGCCTATGGGGTTTGTTTCTGCTGCTTTGTGTCATTTTACTTGCAAATTAGTTAAAGGTTTTCACAGTATGACTTGATTTAAAAGGGAAGGAAGAGAAAAGAAAGGAATAGGAGAGAAAGGAAAAGAGAAAAGAAAAGAAAAAGAGATTCCTTGGTTGTTCTGCTCAGCCATCTATGAGTCTCCTGAGATGCCCTCTGAGCCTTGCAGGAGGCTTCTCCTGGAAAAGAGATGGTGTGGTCCAAAGTTTGCTTTGAAGCCACAGAAAGCAAGCAGGCCATTGCCAGTCTGGAGTTAGAAGGGACCTTAGAGTCCAGCCTCTTCATTTTATAGATGAGAAAACTGAGGTGAAGTGATTTGTCCAAGACTGGATAGCTATTAAAGGGCAGGAATTTGAACACAGTTTTCTGCCTCCAAACACTTCTACTAAATATGTTTAAAGAATCTTCCAAAGGGAGCATATACCAAAAAGGAGGAAGCCATGTAGAATGAGGACCATTTTTGTCTTCTCAAAATCTATTTAGAAAAAGCTTTGAAATTTCCATCGCCATATTTAGAGAAGATGACTCCAGAGTCCAGCAGAGTGTTTCATTCTGCTGGGTCCTTTCTTGACCTCTTGACATTGGATCTGCTATTCAGGGCCAGCCCTATAGCAAAACTATGAAATGGGGACATTTGTTTGATACCTCTGATGTCTTCTATAAAGCCCCCTTTCCTTTTTTTTTTTTCTCCTCTCCTGCTTCTGCCTATGTCCTACATGCAGATCTATTCCATGTCCCAATCTAGATAATCCTATCAGTCCTTGATAAAAGATTTGCTTGGAGAAGGTCCCTTTCTAGGAAGCGTTTACATCTTAATAAGAGAGTCTTTGGAAACCCTAAAACCTTCAAATCTTAAACACCATGTGAATTAAGCTATGCTGGTAAGATACAGGTGCCAGGTTGATATTTCTGAACAGCGGTCAAAGGCATTCTTTTCTTTTTATCTTCTGAAACAAGCTGCCTACTATAAGGCTAGATCTGCTGCTATTTATTTTGGGCAAGACATTCTGGGTTCTTGTTATATCATTCTATAGAAATTTTCTTTTCCTTGTCTTTTGTGTCTTTAAGACACGTACATTTGGTGAGGGATGAGAGAAATTAACTAACCAGTGATGATGTAGAAATGTGGGTTTGAATACCCCCAAATCTGCCATGCAGTTAGTAGGCTTTCTCCTTGGCTGACTGAGCTGGGAGTTTTGGGATGCACCAATAAGCTTGATTTAGAAACTAAACTGATGTGGGTCTGCTGTAGACTGTTTGGGGTGTGGGAGCAAGAAGCTATCATTTTCTCTGTGTTGCCATGGGGGAATGAGGTGTTATGTTATGTGCACCTGGACCAGAAAGAATCATGAAAACTGAACTAGGCTTGAGGAACTTTTATTAAAGATTATATCAGAAAGCTGAAGTATCACTTTGTCTCTCTGGCTAATTGTATTTTTTTAAATATACACTTAAATTTTTGACCATTCCATAGTTTTTAAAAAAAATAATAAATATAGTCAAGATAAACACATTTCCATGTTATTGAGGTACACACAACATGTGTCTCATTCCATACATTCATCATCTCTCTGTCAGGGCTCGGTAGCATTCCTTATCATTTGTCCTTTGGAATCATTTCATTGATCAGAGTGCTTGAGTCTTTCAAAACTGTTCATTTTTATGATGTTGATACTATGGTGTAAATTGTTCTCCTGATCTTGCTCCCTTTATTCTGTATCAGTTCCTACAAGTCTTCCTAGGCTTTTTTGCAATGGTCCTTCTCATCATTTCAAGTAATACTCTATTATATTCATGTACCATAATTTTTTCAACCACTCCACAATTGGTGGGCACCTCCTTAGTTTCCAGTTCTTTGCCATTACAAAAAGAGTTGCTATAAATACATTTGTACATATAGCACCTTTTCCTCTTTGACCTCTTTGGGGTTAATATGCACTTTTAATCACCTACTTCTTGTAGGTTTTTCCTGAATGTGTATACTCTTCTCTTGCAAATAAACCTTTGAAATGTAATTTTGTGATCTGGAATATGTGGTAAAAATTGGTGTCAGAAAAGGAATGGCAGAGCATTGGGTATCCAGTTATGGGTCAAAGGGGACAAAAGACTTTTGGGAATTGGGCATGGCCAAGCCCAATCAAGTAGGCTCAAGGTTCAAGAAAATATCTCAAGTTGGGGTCTAAAAGTCAGAGAAGTTTAGAAAGTGGTAGAAGGGGAAAGCCTTGGAGCCAAGGGATCAGTTACCAAGTCTGCTTAACAGCCCTTCAAGGCAAGCTGCTCTTATCAGAAAGACTCAATCACCAACAGATAAGGTGTCAATGATTTTCTTCTCAATGACAGCAACCTATGATGAATACTAAGACATGAAGGCATTGTGTCTGAATAGGGGGGTGGGGGATACATAATAATAGTAATGATAATAACTAGCATTTATTAACTGCCTACTATGTGCCAGACACTGTGCTAAGTGCTGTGCAAATATTATCTCAGTTGATCCTTGCAACAACCATGGGAGTTAGATGCTGTTATTGTCCCTATTTTACAGACAAGGAAACTGAGGCAAACAGAGGTTAAGTGACTTGCCCAGGGTCACATAGGAAGTGTCTGAGGCCAGACTTAACAACTTCACAATGTGTACTCGTGTGTGTGTGTGTGTGTGTGTGATAATGTTGTAGAGCCTGTGACTTCAATGTGTGGGAAACTCTCAGTGAAGAATCTCTACTAAATCAGGTTCGCAGCTGCTCTGCAATTTTTGGTATTAGACAGTTTCCTAGGGCCCCAGAATATTATGTGACTTCATCTTACTCCATACTTCCTCTCATCTCTCCCTATCTCTCTCTGTATGCATGTGCAATGTATATTTAGGCAATTGATCAATCAACAAACATTTAGTTAAGTGTTTACTACGTGCGAGGTAGGCACTGTGCTAAACATTGGTGATAGAAAGATAAAAGTCAAACAGTTCTTGCCCTAAAGGGGGGGCAACATGTACATGTATACATATATACACAAACACATACATGAAAAGTCCTTTACATGCTTGGGGTCAGTGTGGCATGATGACATAATGAATAAGGCATAACAAAGCCTTATTAATCTGATATAATTTTTAAACTCTGCTTTCTCAGATAGTAGCTGTGTTACCTTGGACAAGTCTGCCCAAAAAAACTGTTTGCCTCAGTTTCCTCATCTGTCAAATAAGCTGGAGAAGGAAATGGTAAACCTCTCTGGTATCTTTACCATGAAAATCCCTAATGGGGTCATGAAGAGTTGGACACAATTGAAACAACTCAACAACAACAACAACTCTCTAAGGTTACCAATGACAGTTTAACTATTTTATATATATATACATAGTCTAGAGGGCCATGGAATAATGGGAATATATCTGCTTTCTCTAGCATTATCATTAAGATTATAGATAGAAAACATGCCAAAGTAGGTCATTGCAATTGTGGGCCGCTGTATCTTTTGGCTACACATGGGGACCAAATCAAGGGGTCTAGAATGAGTATAATGTAATTTAAAAGGCTCATATCTGGGAATAGCATAAAAGTCTGAAAGAAAAGATGTTTTCCTGAACTGAACATATTCTTGGATGAAGATTATATGTTATCAAGATTTCTTAGAAGCAAGACAAAGTTTGTATCCAAAAACATTCTAGCCTTAACATCTCTCCAAAAATGCTTATCTTCATCTAAGAGTTTTTTAGCTTCACTCTAACAACTTGAGCAAAATCCATCCTTTGGACTTTGAACCCTGTTGTAGTTATTTATAGGACAGTAGTAGAGTTAATGCATTTTACACGACTTCAGACTCTTCTCACTTTTTAGCTAAACACAATCTTCCCTCCTTCAACTAAAGTCCTTCCCCTAATAGTTCCAGTGTGAGAATAGTTATCTCAATGCTTGACATTAATTTTCTGGGAGAATATGTTCTCAGAGAAGAAAGATGCATCAAAGGTAGTGCATAATAACAGCATAATTAGTCCCCATATTTCCTCTATAGTTCCTTCCCTCTTAAGTTCCTCCTGCTTCTTGACAAAGATCTTCCATTCCGAGATGGAGTCTGATTTCCAGGACAGCTTTTTAATTTTTTTTTTTACAAGGGCATTTCCTTTAATACGAAGTGAAACAGAAAATGTCTTGGCTGAATTCACTTTATATTTAAACGCCCCCTGGGAGGTCCTCACGACCTGCCGACTTTCTCAAATTGTTTCCACTTTGCATCTATTTTAGCCTCCAGCTGGGTAATAGCTGCCAGATTTGTTTTCAAGGAAATCAACTCCAAACTGACCTCAGGAGAGGAAGGATCCCTGGTAATAATGAGTGTGGGGCGAGAAGAGGGGCGAGTGGTTGCCATGGCAGTCTCATTCTAAGGTACTGCTTTTTTCGAGATGAGAGGGGAGGAGCCGGTTTTTATGGCTGCTGGGCATGTGAGGAGACTTGCATCTTTCAAGGGGGAAGGAGAAGAGGCAAGGGGTCTTGTTAACCCAGACTACTCCCTAAAGGGGAGGAATCCACAGAAAGCATCAATAATGCCTCAACCTTAGACGTCTACAACTCATAAAGGTAATATTTGCCCTACACATACACCCTAAGTTTGAACTGCTCCTCCTTGCTCCCACATGGAATCAAGGATGACTGGGGTTTGTAGAGAGGAGGTAGTGTGAGGATCAAAAACTGACAATGAGAATGCAGAGAAAAGGATGCAGAATTAATTTTCAGAAGGTAGGTAGCTCTCCAGGGCAGCTAGGTGGTGCAGTGAATATAGTGTGCCAGGCCAGGAGTCAGGAAGACTCATCTTATTGAGTTCAAATTTGGGGTCAGGCACTTGCTAGCTGTGTGACCCTGGGCAAGTCATTTAACCTTATTTGCCTCAGTTTCCTCATTTGTAAAATGAACTGGAGAAAGAAATGGTAAACTACTCCAGTAT